GGGTTTTAAAATAATATATATAACATATTTAAGGACCCATGAATATTGGTTTATAATCTGGAAAGGGGTATCATGAATTTTTAAACGAAATCTAGGCATGCTACCAAGTAAGGAGGATGACTTAGTTCCCAATTTGTTGAGCAAACTAAATGGACTAGAATGGGAGTTATGTTTTAGATTTTATATAAATAATGTTTATGTATAATTTAATGAAGACCAAGAATGTTGGTTTTACGGTGTTAATGGAATCCATGAAATTTAAACAATAATTTACATGTCGTCAAATATGGAAGTTTGAGTATTAGTGGTTGTTTTAGCAAATTAAACGATCTAGTATTAAAAATACTATTAGGACTTCATATAATGTACTCCGTCTAGACTTCTGAGTGCCATTATACCAAGTGTAGGAATTATGATTGAGGATTTAATGGATGTCATGAGATTTAAACATTTATTTGCATGCCGTCTCAGATATAAGAGGATTTGTTTACTAGCCTTTGTTTTATAGTAGTTTAAACGGGCTAGTATGGAAATATCGGTTGAAAATTCTAATATAATGTGATCAGTTTAAAATTCTGAAAATCATTATATCATGTTATGGATGTTAATTGCTGAATTAATATATTTCTTGTTTTGTCAATTATGGGGAATGGATGGTTTAAATTGTTTATCATTACTATAGCAATTTGAACGAATGTTTCGTGATATTAATCATATACTGGATGCATAATAGGATCTTAACAATACATGTTTTCTATTATGCTGGTTCTGGATATATTTGGTGTTCATTTGAATGTGCATCATCTGTGGATCATATACATGTATGTACCGGTATGGGACGGTGACATACGGAGGGACGGATTAGATCAAAATGCTAATTCCAACTCATTCATACATAAGGAATGGATTAACTAAAACTGTTAAATCCAACATGGATGCATGTCCTGTCAACTAAAACAGTTGAACGACATAATGGATATTTGTTTTATCTTTCTGCAGTAGGAAGGATAGGGGTTTAATTGAAACATTTAAATCCTAAGTAAATGTCGTGTCTTGGCAATGAACATTTGAGCGGCACTTCATTTGGTTTTGGATGGAATTTATATATATATTTATGTTACCACGATATGAGCTTGAGTTTCAGGATCGATAGTTAGGGAGCGTATATGTGTTGGGATGCATAACTGGTTATGATGGTTTGATGTGTGCCCTGCTAGTCAGGTTGAGATAGGCCTGTAGTCCAGGGGAAGTCTTGTAATGTGGATATGTTTATATATATGGACTATTTTAGATATTGCCAAGCTATCCAGAATGTATCTGCGTATCGAGTTTATGTACGGATTGTAATAGGATGGGACTTGCATGTAGGCCTGACCCAGTCTTATTTTTTAAGTGTTCAACAGTATCAGGCTTAGAGCTTGATCGTGTTGATGCAGATACAGACACTCACTCTTCCGACTACATAGGATTTTCTTTCTTACCTTTAGTTTTGGATTTTATTTTTGTAAATGTTTTATCAGTTAGAATTATTAGGGGCCCACTAGATAGATTCCCGAGTTGTATGGATTTGAAGGATTTAAATGATATTAATTTATTATTTAAAGTTCGATGATTTTTATTTTAGATTTCTTTCAGCGTATTATTAATTTATTCTTAATTCAGTTTTTATTCCTGCTTGTTTACATATTAATTGTTTGGTATCCCTCAGATCTGTGTTCGGAGTTGATCACCCGTGGCTATAGAATCGAGGAGTAGCACAGCCGCTGCGCCAAATCTCTAGGCCCTTGACAATATGGTGTCATCACAGCATACATGTATGAGTGTTTGTATATCTGTCTATATATATTCCCTATTCCTCTCATCTCACTCATCAAAAGTTAAAATACAAACTTAAGCACAATCCATATATATATATATTTACATGTATGATTAAATATATGCTCGCTGCCACTATTTTGGTATAACCTCTCCTCCATCTAATATAAATAATGCTAAATCTCATCCTAGCCGTCACCTGTAGAGCTTTGACACTGTATAAAATAACTTAAATATCCTTTAATTTTGGCAAAATAGCTCTATAACTTAAAGAATTAAATTAAAAGACTAAATTATCCCAAAATACTTTGCAAATTTACAATTATCTAAGAAGATAAAGGTTGAATGGCGCATACACGTATGAGTGTCTATATATGAACTTTTCCTTTCTTTTGGGTCATCAAAACAACTAAAGATTATTTCGTTCTAAGTTCAGATGCTCTTTTTAATTTTTGTGTTTAAATTTGATATAGGTTTTTCGAAAAAGCATCAACCAAGTGGAAGCCTAGAATCCAAAGACAAGAAATGGGTGATCGCTGGAATTGCCATTTTTGTTTTGTTTTTTTGTTTTTTTTGTTTTAGGGTTTCTCTATTTTAGTTGTTTAGATTTATATTAGATGAGTACAGTATATATTGGGTATTCTAGTTTAAATCAAGATATTTGCTTAATGGGTATTTTTTTTATTTTTAATTTCTTATGTTTTGTCTGTTGAATCTCGTCACCGGAAATAATGGAGTTTATGGAATTGGGACCACAATTGGACTTTCGGAAGAGACAATGGCATTTAGGATCATTAAAGATTTCTAGTAATTTCATTCAAATAATGCCAAAGGTTAATTTTTTATTTATTTTTACTTATATAAAAGAGAATGTACAAACTGGCTGGGCCAAATATGGACCAAACCACAATAGTGGGCAATCCCAGAACATAAAAACATTGTCAAACAAAACCAACCCAAGGCCCAAAATAGAAACGAAAAAGACATTTGTAATCTAGGAGCCCTAGGCCCACAATGGCCCAAAGCAGAAGTAAATTGACATTTGTAGTAAGCCCAAGGCCCACAATGGCCCAAAACATGGGCTTTCTCATTTGGTCGTCCGAAACTCTATATCCATATCCGTGTAAGATATGATTTTGTATTGATAAAAGTGAGAAAATAGGGAGCTAGAACTTTAATATTGTATAAGTGTGTCTATATATATAATATATATATATATATATCCGTGGTGTGCCTGCAAAAAGACATAGCAGCAGTGCAGCACACTGGCACATTGTAAAATTTTCCCTAATATAGCAAGTGATGTACAGAAAATGAAGCGCGGGAAAAGTAAAAACGTAAGAAAATTTTGAGAAATCATAATTATTAATAGGTGTAACATACGAAAGAGAGATTTGAAAAATTATACTCAGTACGTTACAATAGTACAATGATGGGTGAGATTATAATATCGTTTATGTAATCCTATTAAAAAACACAATTGAAAAATTAATGAAATAGTAAATGTAATTGTTGAAAAAGTTAAATATATAAAGTGGAATCTATTGTCAAGAGATAGAAAAAAATAAATAAAATAAATAAAGCTACACAGTTAACGAAATGGGAAACTATAACCTTTCAAAAAAAAAAAAAAAAAATTGGGAAACGGTTTTGTCCATTTATGCCTGGTTTGATGGGACGTTTTATTTGTTAGTGGAGTAAAAGAGAAAATATTTTAGAAAAAAAATATAAAAATTAAAAAAGCAAAACTGAAAGGTTAAAGTTTTGTAAACGTAAACAAAAGCCTAGTGTTAAAATATATAAAAAGTTTCAATCAGGGAGAAAAATAATGATCTAGAATATGATACCTTCAGTGTATGCACCACAAGCAAAGTCCAAATTCACTTTTTATTATGAACGGTCTTAATCCAATATACAAAATTATAAATACTCACCTTCTATTATGGATTCTTTTTAATTATGTATACAAATTTATAAATACCCACCTCTATTTAATAATATATATAGAATTGCAAAGACTTGCTATTATAAAGGAAAAATTTTAAAGAAAGTCAAAAGATAAATATCAATCAGTCCTATTGATATTTAACGAATGAGGAAAAAAAAAGTAATAGCTATCATACAAGTAACTTGGGTTTGTTGAGTTAGCTTATTAGTCAACCGGAAAACAAATTGGAGGCCCAGGCCTAATTCACTTCTACGCTTTTTGGTTAGCTGACCAACAACTTGAATATGATTTTGGCTGACCAACAACTTGAGTACGATTAGTTAAGGGATCAGTTCGTATTCAATTGTTTAATAAACGGTCCAAACTTAGACAAAATTCTTAGTGAAGCTCCTGTCCGATTTATTTGTTCATAAACATGTACGTGAACAAGTTCGTTTAAAGGTTGGTTTTGAACTCCAAATATATATATATGTATACACACATACACATACTTTTGAGTTCATTTAATACTTTTGAGTTCATTTAATATCTACTTAACCAACTTTAATAAAAGGCCAAGTTCAAATCCAATCCAATGTAGCCCAACTCAACTTTAACTCATAACACTATTCATTTAAAAATTATGGGTAATTTTACTCATACCCCTTTAAATTTGGTCATTTTTCACCTTCAAACTTCTTTACTCATAATCTCATTGAAGTTTCTACCTTTCATTGCCTTCCCATGAAGTTGGATCTTCAATAAAAGGAAAAAAAAAATTGAAATGGAAAGAAAATAATCAGATCACAATATTGAACAAAACATGATTGAATTAAAAAGAAGAAAAATTTAATGCTAACTTTCGAGGGGTTGGTGTCTATTGTAAGAATGCAAGTTAACACCAATTAGTGTTAGGGTGGTTGGCGTGAGCTGTCATTTAACAAAACAGGAACCAAAAATACCATGCCTGCAAAATAAAGTGTTGTGGGTGAGGTATTAACATGCGGAAAGTGCAGAAAACACCCTGTATACTTTTTATAACACTTTTACTCCTTATTTGAAAAAGTGTGCAGTAAATATACCTAATCTTTTAAAATTGTACAAAATTACTCCTTTGTCATAAATCTGACATAAATTAGTATTGTAATATCCATTTTACCCTTTTGTCCTTCCTAAAATGCCCATGCAATCATCCTCCGACATACCTTTTCATCGAAACTTCCTCCCTTGATGATTCTACGGCTACAAGAGAAAGAATTCCATAACCTTGGGCATAACAACATGATGAGACTATTGGTCCGAGCCATACATACGGATGAAAATGCCAGTCCCAAGCAGCTGCCGTCAATCCTTCCTCTCATCGCCGGTTTCTGCCAAGTCAGCCACCGCAGTTCGTTGCCGAGAGTCCCTCCAAGCTCGCCTGTTCCGCCGCCGCCAGTGTTAAGAACGGCGGCGGGGATTCGCCTTTTCCAGCGAGGAAGCGGTGTTGAGGATCGGCCGTGGAGAGTTCGGCCCACCATCAGTTCCGTGCGAGCTTCTCCTTGCTCGCCGGCCATCTTCAACCTCGCCGGTCCGTCACCGCCTTGCCAGCCGTTCAGACCCTCTGAGCGGCCGTCGGTCAGCCGAGCTCAGTCGATCCTTAATTTGATTTGGGCGATCGGGTTTAGCTCATTCGGTTCTCGATTAGGTCTTCGCAAACTGATCGAATCAATTTCAATATTCATATAAAGATACAAGTCATCTCCTTCGATTCTCAGCGGTTCGGTTTCTTCTCTACTCTCTTCACCAAGTTTGATTCTTTAATACTTCTCTAAAAAATTAATTTTATGCTAAATGTGTATGTGCATTTATTTATTTCTATATGTCGGCATATGAATAAATATGTTTTTTTTTTATGCATATGAATTTATATTTGTTTGATCTTCGTTGTTTTTTTGGTTTTTTTTCTTGGTATTTTCTATGTCTATTAAGCCTAGCTGAGCTCTCGTTTCCACTAGTTGACAATTTTTTGTCCTTTGTTCTCTGTTTAGTCAATTTACATGTATGTGCTTCATATATATAGATTATGTTATAACCTATTACCAAAGAATCAATTTTATATTGATATACATACATGCTCACAGTGTATGTAAAGGAAGCAGAGCACAAACCTAACCATATTAGCTACATGATGACAGGGACTATGGCGATGAGGAAGGATGACGATGATACTTCAGGTACTATGATAGTTACGGCAGTGGTGACATTACACGTCGATCTCGAAGGGTAGTACTTCGCGTTCATATCCGACGCGTCGGCGATCGTGGTGGATTGGTTGCTGGGGACGTCATCGGTGAAGACTTTCATCTTGCAGTTCTCAAATCTCTCTCTCAATCACCAATTTCTTGGTTCTGGCTCGGAATCATGGGTTTCATCATCAGTTCTGGCTCGTCATCGGCATCGTGGCTCAACGTCGTCTGGAGGAAGAGTAGGGGCGGCCTGAGGAATCGACAGTGCTATTCACGCACAACACTTTCCCCTCTTGCTCAGATGGGTTCATCGGGATTGGTTACTGCCGGCGACTGGTCCATCTTTTTGTTTTTCCAACTGGGCCGCCTCTTTCTCTCTCTCTCCCCTCTCTCACTCTAACAGTCGCCTACCATACACATATACACACCCTACACATATATGCATACAGTTTTTGGGTTTGAGTTACTTTTTTGTGGGTTTGTTAAAGGGGGTTTAGATGAGTTCATCGGGAAACATGGGGATTGGCTTCCACATCAAAGGCCCTCTACTGATGCAAATAGGTAGGGTGTGCAAGGTCCTTTTCAGTCTTTTTACAAAAAAAATTATTTTTATATATTTTATAAAATTATTCAATAAGGGTAATTTGGTCAATTTAGATTTTAAATGTGTCAAGGGACCTAATTGCACCAAATTGAAACTTGAGGGATGTGATATGCACTATAAACATACTACAAGGGTGTTTTCTGCACTTCACCCTATTAATATACACACAGACACATTGTTTGGTTGCATCTCAAGCTTTGTAATTTGAGGTGGCTAATTGTATTGATAAGTAGTTATTAATATGAAAACTTATTTTTTTGTAGGTTCAATTTTTGAGAAGGTGAAAGCTTACTGGAATGAGTGAAATCGAAAAAGGTAATTTAGTAATATATTATTATTTTGTTAACCAATTTGCATGATAAAATTGGAAATTTTGTTTACACATAAAATTGGTGCAAATTTTAATTCACTAGGAATTTATGAAGCAATTGTATGCATAATTTATCTATTATATATATATACACACATTGCTGGGAATTTTGCTGATCTCACGTGTTTAGCTTCTAATTTGTATCAAATTCAAGTTTTTTTAGTATGTAGCTTATTTTGTTAAATCAATCACCACTTAACCTGAAAATGTTCTACAACGAATTTATAGTGAGAAAAATCCTTAGTAATTGGGATACTTGGGTGGTGTTGACTACTTTGAAAAATTCATGTAATTTTACTTAATTTGTTGAATGTTTAAAATCAAATCCGTCACCATTACAATTTCAAGAATATAGTCTACAAATCATATTTTTTAATTAATTAGAAAGTCCAAGAATTATATAAAGTTATTTTACTTTTTATCTTCCAATCAAGCCTAAGTAAAAAGTATTTTAAAGAAATAATAAATCTTACCCAATTATGGTTTTAACTTAGCTTAAACACCATAACGGCACATAAACAGGAATAACATTTTGAATTAATAAGAATTGAACATTCAAGTTTCATGATCCGACCCATAATTTCAGGAGTCAATCCTAACTGTCCACACTAGTTAAGAAAACACAACTAGACAAATCTTTAACCGTTCAATACTATTCCTGAAAAGAAGACGATAGCCATTTCCAACCGTCCGATTCACTTTTCCTCCCCACACCTGCATGCTCTTATGTGATAGAAAAATAGGGCAAATCATTTTAGCCTCCCCAATCGCCTCCATCTCTGTATGTGTTCTCAACTCTGAACTTGCCCTCTCTCTCTCTCTCTCTCTCTCTCCGCAACTGCAAATTACAAAATCTACAAGAATCAGAAATTCAAAACCCATATATTTCGGTTTATCTATCTGTCTGCAAGAATCAAAAGTTCAAAACCCATATCGGCATATCATTTCAGATTGTTCAAAAAATCAAAACCCATATCTTTCATTTTCCATCGCCCGCTGTTCTAGATCGGGTTCGCTGTTCGCAAGCTTTAGCCGCTGGCTCTCAACTCTCAAGCTTGCCCCCCTCTCTCTGCAGCTGCTAACTTGAATGTATGGGATTTGTTTTTTTTTATTATTATTTTTTAAAATCAACTAATCAAGGTCTGTAACTCTTGTTTTGCAAACTAAATCCTATTTGGTGAAATTTTTAAGATCTTTTTTTAAATATATATATTTTTTTACACTATAAAGTAACAGAATTTGCATTGCATTAATCTACATTTTATTTCAGCAAAACAAATATTTTTTTTTTTATTTCTATAACTTCTATTTCTGGTTTTATTTTTATTATTATTATTTTTTCTTTGTTGTCAAATATATCTACAAGAAAATTTGAATCTGGGAATGAAAAAAGAAAAAAGAAAAAGAAAAAAAAGAATCTGAATTGGATTAGAATTCTGCAGAGATTGAATCTGAAACAGTTTTTATCAACATGCAAAGCTTTTTGAAGATGGAAGTCTTTTCAGAACTAAAAAAAAAAAAATCATAACAAGAACTTTGACAAGCAAAAGTACTTAATATGGGGTAAAGCTCTAAAGTTACTTCTTGAAAATTAAAATACGTACAAAAAGCATGCTTTTGAGTGAATTCCATAGTGTTGTGGGAAGAGGCTTGCCATGAACTACCTCACACTCTGCTTCCACTAGTAGATTCTCAAATAGGATTAGTAAATTGGTCAAAAGAAGAGATAGGGTACTGAGTGGTGAATTGTTCAGAAATAAATTGATAATTTTTTTTATTAAATTACCTAAATAGGATTTTTTATGCCTTAATCAGTCAATTGTCTAAAAAAACATTGTTAGTTAACTAAAATTGAATTAAACAACAGTTGATTATGGTTGATATATTTTGATTTAGCTGGATCCGGCCTTGTGATACTAATAATGTTTTGTTTCATATAGAAATACATATATTCAATCTTTCTGCCATATTTTTATTTTCAAATTTTGGTTGTTGATTTTCCTTTGTTATTAGAATACACAATATGAGGATATTAATTTGTTAATTTTGAAGAGTATTCCTAAATTGATGGATTGTACTTTGTTATTGGATTAATTTAACTTAAGAGCTGAGTATAACATGTGCTAATCACACCTATCCGTAATCACACCTCTTTCTATGGATAGGTGTCTAACATTCTGACTGAAAGCATAGTTGGGTTGATACATGATATAGATAGTACTTAAATGGTGGTGTTTTAATTGTTATAAGTGAAATTGTGAAACCTTTTCCTCACAACTTGAGTGTTTTTTTATTTTCAGGGTTAGCATCAGTCCTTAACATTTTGCAAGAATAAGGTTCAAGAAACATGCCTCCTTAATCATCAGGTAACAAACTCTTACTTTTTCTAAAATTTAAATTGGCATTTTTAGTTATTGGTTACGTTTATTTATTCATGTTTTACTTATTGATTTTTTGTTTTTATTTTTGTTTCTACATACATATATATAATATTGTTATAATGTGATACTCGAACAATTTATTAATTAGAATTAAAGAATTGGAAGTTTAGTTTTCAATTTCAGAATATATGTTTTACAAGTTTATTAACACTTTTTTAAAACTTTTTCTCTTTTATCCTTATTAGGTCTCTTTTCTGAAAGAAGAGAATTGATGGGAATGGGTGGAGTAGGCAAAAAGAATACCCTTTGTAGAGGGAAAAGAGAAGTGTTACTTGACCCCGTTTGGCATAAAAAAAATTGATGATCTGGAAGAACATGCAGCGCATGTATGTATTCTTACTTGAGGACTATGGTATGTTTTAAATTCTTTTTTTGTTTTGTTTCAAGTCTGAAATTTTTTTTCTTTTTAATCTAGAAGTACTATTTGTTTATATTAACAGCGGGTAAGAATGACTAATCAAAAAAAAAAAAAAAAACTGGGTAAGAATGCAAAGTATGTCGATGACTTCATTTCGATGTTTTTCTCTAAATCCATGGCGCTCGTGCAAGCCTTAATGAGTACAGAACAGATACTCGAAACCTTCCTGTAAGGTTTTGACATCGCGCTGATCAAGCTGACTTCCTCACCACATTGTTTTGATCTGAAACTGACTTCTCACCACATTGTGATAATTCAAGCCTTCGTGAGGGGCGAACATGTACTAGAAACCTTCCTGTAAGGTTTGACATCACGCGGATCAAGCTGACTTCCTCACCACATTGTTTTGATCAGAAGCTGACTTCCTCACCACATTGTGATAATGCAAGCCTTCATGAAGGGCGAACATGTACTAGAAACCTTCTTGTAACATCACGCTGACTTCTATTGTTTTGATCTGAAACTGACTTTTTAAGAGGAGTTATGAATATTTGAATATATATTGAGAAAGGATAAATTTGTTTTGTTTTGGGAAGGATTATATGGTGGTGTTGAATTGAATGATTTTTTTGATGTCCTTTCTTGGGTTATGGATAGTTCCTTATGGTTGCAGACCTGGAGTTAAAGCTTCATTGCACAATGCTAGGCTCTCTGATCATGTTCATTGCTTGATTGGATGTCATGTGTGTTTGTTTATACCATTTTCCTTTCCTAATATTTCCTTTCACGCAAAGCATAGCTAGCATTAGAGATGTATTATATCCATCTTCTGGGTTGTAGTAGTGCATAACACGAGTGTTTCAGAGTTGTATTGTTCTTCTTGCATTCCTTACGTAATATATATACCTTGTAGGGGGAGAGTTATTTTGTTCCAAATGGTCATTTTACTTCAGCTTATTGTTTAAATATTATTTTATTATATTGATACAAGGTCGTTTTAGTCCTTTTGAACAGATAGGCCCTTGTTTGGGTGTTTTTACCACACAAAGGAGGCATATTTTTTTTTTAATTTTTTGTTGCACAGAGCAAACGGGTTGGGACTTTTTCAATTCGTGTGGCTATAACCGACAGATAACAGTCCTTCAGCGGACTAAAGAACCTCAAAAGCCAATGTGACACATTTTTTGTGTTTTCCAAAGATGGAAGCACCTGAGATGGGAAAAAGAGAAAATTAAGATATGAGACCAACTCTTAACACAAGTATATATTTGTAAACAACATAAGATATAAAGAACAAAATGAGTAACAATTAATTTGTGGACAACATGAGATACAAGAAATGAATTTTAAAAAAGGAAAATATGGAATGGGATGAAAGTCGGCGAAAATTTAATTTTCAAAGTGTGGTATTTGACCTCGAAATGCTGCATAAGGAACAACTAATTCAATAATTCCAAAAATGAGCAAAGTTGACTATGAAGCAAGCCATCAAAAAAGCAGATCAAACAAATTGATCAACCCCACAGCCTGAATTAAGGTCCTATATATATATATTTCTAATAAATGTACGCACAAAATTTTGCATTGAATTTGCTTCTTTTCTTTTCTTTTTTTTTTTAGTTAAAAGGGTAAGCTTGTATAAAAAGGAAGATAATGTACATGGGGTCCCAAAGAGGACAACACAAAAAGCCAGGAGGCAACAAAGCACAAAACCAAACAGAGTGAACAAGTGCACAGATCAGAGGCATAGTCAACCACCATACAATGTAGTTCCAAAATCAGCTTAGGAGTGACTGGGCAGTTGCAAAGCTGCATCCCTGCATGAACAGAAGTTGGAGGTCCTCCCATTTGGTAATCTTCTTGAGGTCAGCAGAGCCTCGATCTGGTGCACTTCCTGATTTGCTCAATGATCTGATGTGAAGTGGATAACCTATTTCTAAAGGCCCTTCAATTCCTTTCCAACCAAATGAAATAAACAGCAGCTGAGACTGAGAGGAGTAACGTGTGGACCAAAAATCTTTTTGAACGCCAGATGGAGGTACACCAAGCAATCAGATCATGCCAGCTACTAGGCCTGATGTAGAACCCTTCACAATGTTGAATGTAACACCAAATATCCTTTGAAAACTTACACTTAAAGAAGAGGTGATCCATTGACTCCTCACTGGCTAGACAAAGGTAACAGGTATTAGTGTAGTTCTTATGTAACATTGGTTTAGAATCCAATGTATACAACCTTCCTCTGAGATCGAGCAAGCCAAGCAATGAAACCATGCTTGGGAACATGGTGCTTAAACCAGATGATATGCTGCCATGGAAATGTTGGTTAACAAGGTATTGGAGGGAATGTTGGGACAGACCGTAGTGGCGGGGTTCATCTATGTTTCCTACAATTTCAAAGTATGCGCCTTTTTGACACTTGCCTTTTCAGGAGCATGAAAAATCCTTTCTTTCTAAAATCAGCTCTAACTCATTTCTCTTCGATTAGCAGCACAAATTTGTTTGATTCTACTACTCCCTTTATATATAGAGGTAGAGAAATTGTACATGGATGAGAATTCAATAATCTATTGGAATCTTAGCAATTAACTACTAATTTCATTGGTCAAAAGGAATATCGAAAGGACCAGAAGGGCGTAGGTTGGAGGTGAGAAGTACTTGATGGTATGAGAGAGGGAGAATGAATTGGTTTGCGAGGGTAACCAGAGGACCTTATTTGATAGATTAGAGGGGAGAGGCGAGCTCTGTAACTGGGAGAGGAAGATATGGGATTGGAAGAATAACATGTGAGCTATTGAAGGTGGGACAACCCACTAAAAATTGGAAATTAGACTATCAACTTTGATAAATCTAACCAGTCGAAGGATTTCCACTTCAAAGAGGTTGATCTGAGAAGTGATAGGACCATTTGGTAACCGTAATGCATCCATAACATAGTGTCAGTGCCCTTCCTCACTATGTGCTTAATAATTCATCTGGCCATATCCCTCAACTTTAGAATTCTTCTCCAAAAACCTGAGCTCAGTGCAGAGGACCTAAGACTCCAGAAACTCCCAGCTTTGATCAAGTATCTGAAACACCAAGCCACCCATAACCTCTCTTTACTCCTATCAAAAAGCTTCCAAAATATACTTCAAATTTGTAATAATGTTCGACATTTCTAAATTTGGAAAACCAATTCCACCCTGAGCTTTAGTCCTACAAACCACATCCCAAGCTACCTTTGCACCTATCCTCTTCATTTCAACTCCAAACCACAGGAAACATCTCAAGATTCGGTTCACTTGATTAATCACCTTTTTGGGAAAGACAAAATTTTGAGCCCAGTGAAATTGGATTGAACATAAAATGGACTTAATGAGAATTGATCTACCTGCAAAAGATAAGAATCTTGATGTGCATCTATTCACCCTAGTAATTCTTTCAACAAGAGATTGACAGTCTGTAGAGTTGATGGCACTTGAGGTCAATCGCAGTCCTAGGTAAGTAACAGACGGTGTCCCAATCCCAAAATGAAGGAAAGCCATAGTATCAGTCTTGGTTTGGTTGTCAACCCCTGCAAAGAATACAAGGCTTTTGGAGGAGTTGATACTCAAGCTTGGCAATAGAAGAACTCAACAAGTTCTTTTGATGTCTTGTGTGCTGAATAGTTTGATCCACTGCAGACGCGTCCTTCTCTGCTTTAGTGGGACCCCAAGAGAAGCCAACCTTCTGATCGAACTATTCAGCACAAAAGACATCAAAAGAACTGAAAATTGATATCAGTCTCTGTTGAAACTGTGTAATCAACAAAAAGGCTTTGATGAGAATTGAAGTAATATTTATTGCTTGCTCAGACAAATCTTATTCTATAGCTTCGCGATATTAAGCTTAAGCATAAAGGTTGAGATATTAAGCTTAAGCATAAAGGTTGGAGCTTAAAATAAGGGAAAAGAAATCAACTGTTCTTTTATATTTTCAGCTCAAATATTAGAACACCTACTGAATAGTAAGGACTCAATTGTTTTTAAGAATTAAACAGATCAATGGACTCATAGAAATTCAAATAAGTGTAGTACCAAATGACCATTTCAATGTTTGAGTTTATAAATTTCTTAAAGATGGTCTGCATTTTGAAATTTCGGTCTAGGCCTCTACTAAATTGCAGAGAAGGAACCTATGTAATTAAATTTAAATGATCATAAGTACTCGATTTACCTGTTAAGGAAAAGTTTTGAAATTACCATAACCACATAAAACTCATGCCAACATGCGATTGCAGAATTCAAAAAATTAGAGACAACTGTATCTCAAAAAGACAACTGGATCTCAAAAAGCCTACGATGCTCAATATTTTGCAGTAGTCGAATGATGAAAAATATATATTTGAACAAAAATATATATTTGAACACTCTTGAGATCCATAGATGAAAATATCATTACTGGTGACAAGTGCAAGAGAGAAAACATTACCTATTCACGCAAAAGAACAGTAGTTGTTGCATTCACAAATGGACAGCAATTGTTGCATTATCTCAGTGCCTGCATAAAGTTTACACCAAAATAAGAATCACTTAACCAACTTCTAGAAGATAAAGAAAAGTATAAATCAAAAAGGCAGAATACCAGTCATTAAGATTCATCACTGACAATCTAAGCTTCGGAAAATCAACATCGGGTAAGAACACCAACTTTGTGAAACAAAACTGATCAGATTACTAGTTACAAGCTGAGTTCACATCAGTGTGTTTATGAGCAGCAGAATTTTGCTGAATTTTCCGCAATAAGAATCGTATAGAGTCATTTGACCCCTGTGGCAAACAATCCTGGTAGCTAAAATAGATAAAATGAAGGGTATTACTAAGACACATTCGAGAATACTCTGCATTAGTCCTCAGGACACTGGTTAAGGAAACTCAACAAGTTCTGATTTTTCTTTTGATAACAAAAAATAAAAATAAAAATAAAAAGGGGAAATTCAGCCAAATATGCACAACAAACCAGGATTTAGAAACCATGCCAAGCCAATGGTTATGTTATGACCTGCATTAAGTGTTGGTAGATCATGTCAATTGCAGGGCACTAAGCTTCCTTGGTGTATGCTTCTAACTTATCCCACATTCCGTTTAGAGGAGAAAAGGAGGCGAACTCCATGTACAAGATTCTGCACTAACAATAAGGAACCAGATTAGCCTCTTTCAGTGATTTTTATTTTTCTTTTAGCAAGGAAAGTTTTAGATACAAATACCAGTCTCTGTTTAATAAATGCAAGGCCCGAAATTTGCATCATCCATGAGTTCATGGTCTAACCACGTTCAGCATGGTATTTTTTTTCCTGCATCAGCTTAGGTGGTCGAAACCAAAACAACAAACACCTCCCTATTCTATTTTATACAACAACCCACGGGCGCGCACCACTTAAATGTTCCAAAATACAATTTTATATACTAGCATCCCGTTCGTCAAATCACAAATAAGTGGCCAAAAACATTAATTTTGACAAGCTCGGGCTCAGCTAGGCTCGAGCACGTGAATATATATACATATATATATATTAGGTATATTAGCTTCTCGGTATAGATAACGAAGGAATTTGCAACTGACAATGAGGTCTGGTAACCACGCCTTAAATGGATTTCCAACAAAATAAAATAAAATAAAATAAAATAAAAAATTTACCACCATCTCCATCATGTTCACCTATTACTCACCGAAGTTCTGTAGTCATCGTCATCTCCTTCTCCAACTTCAAAACCCAGCCATCAATCTCTCATCCATCAACAATATGACTCCGTATTAGCTTGGGATTGAGTGAGAGAGCTAACCTAAACGTGGGAGTTGACCGTGGATTCAAAGTGGGTGGGAGTCACCGGTGTAATTGAAGAACAATGAGGGTGGAATTATGGGGCAGGGGAAATGGACAGTGGCTTCTTGCGGTTGTGATTTGGTTAGGGCTTTTTTAGTAACCCTCAAAATGTAGTATATATTTTATCCAAGGGCTGAGATGAAAGATTATTTAAATTAATGAATTTTATTTTTTATTTGCCAGATGGACTTCCCAAATACATGTACTATTACTAATTGAGCCAACGTAAGTATGAATGAATTTGACTAAATTTGTATATATATATGGGTTAGGTTCTTATATAAAATAATTTATTGTCAAGTAATTTATATAAATTTTTTTTGATGGTTTGTTATAATTATACGAGACTCTTTTTTAATTTGAGAATTTATTCAGGACGTGTTCTAATAATGAAAATATCATATACAAGTTACTTTTCTATTATGGTTAACGTTAGTTAAGGATGAAATCTGTTGACGTATAAATTTTATTAAAATTCTTATAATATCCATGTCTCTATCCATTGATATATATATATGTGTGTTTGAAATATAAAGACTTTGTGAGATTTGTAATTCAAAACTTATTGTTTAGAACTAATGAAATTAAATTTTATAAGATTTGAAATCTCAAAACATACATCCTCAAATTATAAAAGAATTAGTGAAATTTGATGAAATTTATAATTTGGTTAATCACAACTTTATGAATCCAATCAATAAGGGTAAAATTGTAAAAATGTTTTTTTTCTTTCAATGATTGAATTATAACTTATGACCTCTCCTAAGGTTTGATATAATTGCAAATACATCTGAGGTTTGCATATTTTTTGCAATGCGTCCCATGAGGTTTGCTTCATCTTGCAAAGACTTCCTCTCCATACAAAAATTGATATTCTTTGTCAAAAAATTTAGTTGAATGGATCAAAATGCCCTTCAAATAAATAGCAAAGACCCTAACACCCTTATTGTGTTATTAAATTACAAAAAAAAATATTCGAAGAGACAAAATTGACCTTTTCTCTCTCCCTTTCCTTTCTCTCTCCATTCACCCACCACCACCACCACTAACTCCATTGCCATTTCCAAACCCGGACCCTTACAAGATTCAATTAAGCTTTTACAATTGTATGAAAATTCAATGTTCATCTCAAAATGCGTCGGTGTTGGTGGTGGCAAGTGTATTGGTGGTAACTCCAAATTTAATAGATTACTTTCCCTAAACTATATATATATATAACTTTAGATATACATATATACGCACTGGTAGGAAGTTGAAGGAACCCCACTTGTAGGACTCCTCATCGAATTGGGTGATTTCGTTGCATTCATCGTTAAAAGTAAGTTTCTTTTGGAGTCTATAATTGTTGATCAGCATTTGGCAGCAATTTGTGGAGGTAGGGAGAAGAAGAGAGATGGTGGCGTGGTGGTTGCTGCGGCGGCCATGGAGTGGGTGGAAAGAGAACAAAATCTGACATAAAAGAGAGAAAATTGTGGGATTGCAAGTGTAGAGGGCAAAATTGTCATTTGACTTACTCAAATATTTTGACATTGTTAATAATATAATAATGAGGGTAGATAAGTTAATTTACAACAAAATTTGACTTGGGGAGGTGTTTGCAAAAAAATGATACACCTCATGTTTAGTTGCTTATAGTCCAAACCTCACTGTAATTTGCCCTATTTTTTTTCTTTTCTTTTCCTTTCCGAGCTTCCAAACAAATTGTATAAAGAAGGTGCTTCTGTATTTTATATTATATCCCGAAACGCACGCGTTTTGTACAGAACACACATGTATATATAACCTTGCATCTCGCTTATTTCGCGCCCTGGTGGTACATTCATACAATCCCCAATCGCCCCTACCATAAACCCTAGAAAGTAAACACTAAATCCTTATCTCACTTCTTCTTCTTCGTCTTCTTTACTTCTCTCCCAATTTGTTATTCCAATTCATTCAATTCCATTACTGTTTTCACTTTTCACCATACATGTTAATATACATCCATACATACATACATCTAAATATATATATAAATTTATATCTGTAGTGGAATATCTTAACCAGTGTTGTTATACTATTAAGTCATAGGCTACTGGACACTGTCACTACAAAAACATCGGAAGGAACTAAAATTGCATCATATACAGGGCATATATATGTGTGCTTATGTATGTGCGCGCGCGCATATACTTGTATGTTTTTACTTGTACACAATGTTCAATTGATTGCTAGAATTCTTGTTTTTGGTGTTATCTAGGGTTGCATTGTCCTGGTATTTTGCAAAATTGAGGAATGAGGTACAGATATATTCGTGTGCGTGCATAAGCTTGTATGTGGTAACTCCTACTCAATGTTCAATTGATTGCTATAAATATTGTTTTTGCTGTTAAATTGGGTTGCATTGTCCAGGTATTTTGCAAAATTGAGAAAATAATACAAAGATATATGTGTGTGTGTGCATATGCTTGTATGTGTTAACTTATACACCATGTTCAATTGATTTGTAGAATTTTTGTTTCTGCTGTTAAATACGGTTGAGTTGTTCAGGTATTTTGCAAATTGAGAAAAGGTTACAAAGATATGTCTGTGTGTGCGTGTGTACTTGTATATGTTAACTTATACGCAATGATCATTGATTGCTAGAATTCTTGTTTTTGGTGTTAAATAGGGTTGCATTGTCCAGGTATTTTGCAACTTTGGGAAAAGAGTACAAAGATTTATGCGCGCGTGTGTGCATGTACACAATGGTCAATTGATTGCTAGAGTTATTTGTGTTTGGTGTTAAATAGGGTTGCATTGTCCAGGTATTTTGCAAAATTGAGAAAATAGTACAGAGATGTGGAAGCTCATAAAGCTGGAAGAAGGATTGAATGTATTGGAAGAGGCCATTGTGAAGGCTAGGCTGCTTCTTGATGGACACCCCACTAATACACTGTTCACACCTGAAGAATACATCAAGTTTTATGAGTATCCTTTATAAAATTATAATGATTTATTTTTTTTCAATCAAAGGAACATGGTCACTATACTGCAGTGACTAAGATGAAATAATTGGTCACTTGTATTGCTTTACAGTGACCATGTTCGTTGAACAACAATTAGTTTTAGGTTTAATTACTAAATTATACTCAATTGGTCATAATTGTATCTCAAGTTCTTGGATTGGCTGCAGAGACCCTTTTCTGCTATCTAACTTTATTGTCTAGGTGCATTTTGTAAGCTATATCATGGTTCATTATGTTTGTTGTTGTTGCCTCAACTTTAGTGCTTTTAACTTTCTGGGCTTTGATAATAGAACAATAGTTTTAATTATTTTTCATTCCATAAGGGATTAACACGGCACATGAAACTGTTCATCCATCCTAAATTCCTAATTTACTTTTATGGGGAATGCCCTTTCTATTGTTTGCTCGTTTCTGCATGATCTATCTAATTCCTAAATTGAGGTAGTAACCTGTAGGTATCTCTTGGCTACTATGAATTACTCATTCATTTCAATGACTGGATTTACTAAAGTTCATTCATTTTGTACACCAACCTGTAGATTCCAAAGCATAAGTATCCAATTCTTACTAAGGTTAACCAAAAGTATGTTGTCAGCAAACAACATACGTGATGGAACCTTTTTATTACCATCAATTAAGAAGGACAAAGGTTCAGTACTGACCCTCTATTTATGCTTATTATAACTGGAATTTCTTCTGGCCAGCAATACATCCTTGATCAAGTTGGTACATAACATGGTTATATGCTCTAAACCCACTATTCATGTCTTTGTAAACACATGTCATATGTTTATTCTGCCTTTAATGACTTTTTTGTTTCTGCCTATGTCTTTTCTTTAGACCTCTCTATCAATTGGTTGTGTTAAGGGATAGCTTCAATGATTGATTCCCCTTTATCTATTTGAACACACCTGAACACAAATATGTGCATGTTCTTGTTTCTTTTTGTAGTCATTACTCAACTGCTTTCCCAAATTTTGCAGTATGACACTATGAATACGTTGTATTTTATTCTTATATAGTTTCCCACGTGTTTATCCTCCATTTAAATGTTACTTTCTTTCATATTATACGTTGTTTTAACAACCAGGCCAAACCATTCTTCGGCTAAATGTTGCTGCAATTCTTGAGATGACCTCACACCATTGGTATAGAGTCCCAGAAGAAAACCATTATTAAAATTCTCACCCATCATAGGCAGTTATACTTCAAAGCCTTGTTTAGGCTTATTACTTAATCTTAAACCTTTGAAAAGGCTTAAGAAAATAAAACGATACATGAAATTGTTACCCACAATTTCAATTGATTTTTTCATGGAGTTTGGACGATACATACTCAACTCCGGATATATAGTTGGCTCATCCTTGTATACTACACGTGTAAATTAAGAGCATTTTGGGTCTTGATTTTTTTTGTGTAAAATGTAAATCCTTTACTCTTTTTAGCTGTGTTTATTTCATGTGTATTCAGCATGATCCTTATGACTATTCAATTCAGCTTTATGAAAGATTTAATAGAGCTTTGGAAGAGAGCATTTTTTCAAGGGTGAGATTTCAGGAACTGAGCTACTCGCATCATAGGTTTAACAAGGCTTAAAGACTGAATTTGTGTTTTTCTCGCTGAATTCGGCCAAGCACATCTAATGTGCTCTCATATGCTCAGATCACCTGTACTCTTTTGCGTTCCTACAATCTATAATTCTCTCAACTATCCAATTAAGCCGTTTCTAGCATCCAATATTTCTCTTTTTGTTGAACTTATAATATATATATATATATATATATATTTCTTTTTGTTGTGGTCTCAGGTTTTGCCATCTTTGGTGGACAAAAATGATGCCTCTCTGCTAATAGAACTCTTGCGCATGTGGACAAACTACAAGGTGATGACAAAGTGTCTAGGAGGATTATTTCTATACCTTGATCGCCACTTTCCAAATGGTAAAAATGCTGCATCACTCAATGATGTCTCGGTTCAGTGCTTTCGTGATCTGGTAAGTCTATTGTGACAATGTGCCTAGAGTAGTTTCCTCGTGTCTTTTCTGGTTATCATAAATTTTATTTTCCTTTATATTTTACCTTGCTCTTTTTAGATTGATTCTTTCTACAATATAATTAATTGGATTTTCTATTTCAGGTCTGCAATGAGTTTTATCAAAGATTTCAGAATGCTGCAGTATCCCTGGTAAGTTGAGGTGACATATTCTGTTTATAACTCCATTCTCTCCTCAATGACACAAGTCTGACTTGATTTTGCCTATAGATCGGGCAGGACCGTGATGGGAAATTGATTGATAGGGACTTACTGAAGAATACCATGACTTTTTTTATGGAAATTGGGGGCTGTGGAAACACAAGCTACTATGACAATTTTGAGAAGGTGATGCTTGCAGATAGTGCCGCCTACTACTCTCAGCTAGCTTCAAACTTGCTCATCTGTAATTCATCCGCTGATTATGTTATGAAGGTTGTTATTGCTAGAACTTCTGCACTTGACATAATTTTTACATGCCATATATGTACCAAACAATGATGATTACACATAATGATTTGTCTTTTTTTGAATGCTTTAGGTTGAATGGTGCTTGAATCAGGAGGAAGAAAGAGCTAGTCAATACTTGTGCCAAACCACAGTAGAGAGGCTACTACAGGTAGTATGGTTGTATATATAGTTTTTTGACTGTGCTTTCTGATTTCGTTTTGATAATATATATGTAATTGTAACAAGGTTATCATGATTGGGATCCTACATTGGATAAATGGAGGGTCCATACGATTGGATCGAGGATCGTAAGATCATAAAAATGAGGGGAAGAGAAAGGAAAAACTAAAATGATTTGAAACCTTAAAGAAGTCTTTAGGAACAGGGGAAAAGCATTTTTGAGTGAGAAATTCAGCTCTCTGTGTAATAGAGTTGTGAGCACCAACCAATACTCAGACAAATTGAGAGGACCACTGGTAGGATAAGCCTTTAGAATGACCAACTTATCTCCAAAACTGATTAATGGTTTGGGGTCTTAATTCTTAAGTCCCAAGTCAGAGGTCATGGTTTCGAGACTGGTAGAGAGAAAAGAAAAGAAAAAAGAAAAGAGAGGAGCACCGGTACACAACAGTCCAGCACTAGTACTTGCAGAAACCGAGAGTTTAGCACCAATACACAAAACTTGAGCACCGGTACCTCAATTTTTCTGTGTTCGCAAAACTAGTCTCTCTAATTTTCAGAATGTGTCAAATTTTCTAATTGTTCAAGAACATCTCCTAATCAGTTTTGGAAATAAGTTGGTCTTCCTAAAGGTTTTAAAGTAGTATATTATCACTTTTTAGGATATTTCTCATACACACACGCATAGACCTATATCAAATACATGGTTTTGAGAGATTTATTGACGTAGGACACATTTTCTGGTGCAGTTTCGATGAGACCATCTTAACCCGAGGAGACCCATTACCGATTGGAGTCAGGGCAACGATTAATCTCCACGAGCTTAGCTTGTGATGATATAGTTTTTTGGCCAAACTTTATCATTTAGGGCCTTGAAATTGCATTTTTAAGTTCTACAGGAAGTCTTTTGAATATATCAGAATTTTTGTTAATGGTCAAAATGGACTTGAATTGAGCTGATTTTTGGTATTTATTAGGTTTTATCTCATATTTTTTATTCATAATTTTTAGAAATAGTTTCATTTTGGGCTTCTAATTAGGTTTCCTTTTGCTGATAGGTTTTTTTGTACTAGTTAATCATTCATCACTATTAATAATAATTCATTTTATTTGTCTCTAAACTTTGTGGTTTCGAAGTTGTCTTATTGTTCCTTTGTGAACATTCAAAGCTTTTGCTTCATTAGTTGGTATCAAAGCCTTGATTCTACCTTGGTATGATGACAAATGATGGTAATGGCAGCAACTGCTTTGGCGACGAAGATCGCAGAGTGCAGGCCCTTTAGGCAGACATGCAAGCTCATGAACTGCAGGTTTATGCTTATGATAATTATAAATGATTAATCTGCTCTGCAATACATGCATTTAACTAGTATAGAACACCTATCAGCAAAAGGAAACATAAAAAAGGGATAAATTACACTGACCTCCCTGAGGTATGGGCAAATTACACACGAATAGAGCGCTTGGCCTTTATTACTTTTACCTCCCCTAAAAGTGCAAAATGTCTTTCACACCCTTATCTAATTTAATAATAGTTTAATAAAAAAAAATTATCCCTCTATCACCCTTTTATTTTTTTTCCTGCATCTTGTAAATACTATATTACCCTATCTAATTTTTTTGTTTAAAAAAAAAAAAAAATCAAATCTCATTAACAAAAAATATATATATTTTTGTAAAATTTATTATTTAATAATATAAAATTGGTATGAAATTGATAATTTGCATTTCAATGGCTATTTTTGTGATTTTCTATCAAAATCAAAGGTTATAGGGCTTTTTAACACAAGGAAAGGACAACTTAGTCATTTTTTAAATTTTCATTAACAGTAGGGGTGTCGTTGAGCACACTCGCCAAGTCTCAGGGGAGGTCAAAGTAATAAAAGCTATACACTCTACCTATGTGTAATTTGCCCAAACATTAGGGAAGGTTAGTGTAATTGACCCTAAAAAAAAGCCCCAAATGGCACTATCTCTAAAAATTACAGAAAAAAAAAGGAGATATAACCTAATCACACACACACACACACACACACACAAAAAAAACAAAAAACAAAAAAAACAAAAAAAAAAAAAAAAAAAAAACAAAAAACAGATAAATACCAAAAATCAGCCCAATTCGACCACTAATAAAAATTCTGAAATATTCAAGAGTCTTTTTATAGGTCTGAAAAATGTGATTTCAGGGCCCTAAATGATTGAATTTGGCAACAACAAAAATAGAAGAAGAAGAAAGACATGGGCCACAAGCAGAGCTAGTGGGTATAAATCAATGGCTCGATTCCGATCAGGAATGGGTTTTCTAGAGTTGAAATGGTCTCGTCGGAGCTGCAACGGAAAACGTGTCCTACATAATTTCTCGTATACTCTGATATATGCGTGAGACTTTTGCGAGTCTGATCAGTTTTTTCCATACTGCATTCACGGACGCGAATTTTGTTGTCTGTCGAGATCATTTCAGAAGCTGTGGTTACCAGAAAATGATCTGGAACAGATGCATCTGTCCTTGCATTCTGTAGTGTGAAGGTTTGGCAATCAATTGTTGTGGAAGAAGGTGGATCAGAGCTTGCCTTAATGGAAAATGAGGAGTAAACTTGGGAGAGCAGGCATAAGTCTGAGTTGCACAGCAACTAGGATCAAAAGCCCCGAGTGGTAAGCAGGCATGAGACTAAGACATCTGCCTCAACTGTATCTAATCTAGTTGGGTACAAGTCTGTCTCAAAGTATGAGGTTTTCTTCAATCCATTGTAGTTTAATTTGCCTGGGATGGAGGTCTCTATGTTTTTTTGCATATTTGTTTGATTGATTGATTTATTACAAGGTTTAAAATCTAATTGATTATGTAAAATAAAATTTAAAAAGCAACAGATACGTGTTACGCTCTCTAGGTTTTTATTCTAATAGTACATATAAGATTTCCACGTTCATGAAATCATAATCCTGAATAATAAGACATCGTTCTGAAGAAAGAAGGAAAAAACAGGACATTCTTCATGAAGAAAACAGAAAGCTGCACAACACTGTTCATGAAGAGTAAAAATAAATTGAAAGAAAAAAAGAAGGAAGAAGATGCTGGTTATAAAGAGGGACTTAACATCCTTCATGAAGAAGATAGAAATAATAGCAAGAGGACATTTGTTTATTTTTAACAACCATCTACTCTGAAAGCTTAAACTTTTAGAAATAATAGGAAGAGGACATTGTTTATTTAAACTTTTAATGTAGTTGGTTGTCAACATGGTATTAGAGTGGGAAGGTCCTGATTTCAAACCTCAGCATCAGCCTTATAATTAAAATTGAAAAAACTTGGACCAAAAGAAGGCCACATGTGAGGGGGCGTGTTAGGATTTAAATATTAAAGTTACACCCTCTTTAACTGCTTAAGCTTTTAGAGTAGTTGGTGGTTAACATGGTATCGGAGCCAAATGTCTCGAAGTTCAAACCTCATTGTCACCCTCATAATTAAAATTGAAAACACATGTTGGATCAAAAGAAAGCCACATGTATTTCAAATTTAATTATCAGGATGAAGGTGAGCTTTCAATTTTAAAGTTGATGGTTGTTAACATGGTATCAGGCAAGGTCCTATGCTTGCCTATGTTCAAACCTTATTGTCACTCTGACAATTATATTAAATTTTGGACCGTTGGCACAAATAGAATATAAAACCCACAGAAAATATAGAAAAGCCTTACAATATGGTTTGTAGGATCCTTAGTAACATCTTGAACAATCCTATGACAATTCAACCAAAGTCCTACTTTATGTGATTTTTTATACAATGAATCAATTTGAGAATTTTAGATTGTATATTCATCCGGATCAGGATCCTAATAACCATGAGTTAGACTAGACTAGTGGACCAACTGTATCGTTATCAATTTGTAAAAAAGTTGCCAATTTATATAATGTGAGAACTTTTTTGGTGATTTTTCTTTTTGTTTTGTTTTCTTTTATTTATTCTATTGTAAAATGTTCAAGGCATATTGAGGACTGAAGGGCTTTGTGCTCCTCTGAACCCTCACATGTAAATACTACTCTATGTTTGGCTTGGCAAATTTTTTCATTTTCTGTTTCCCCCACTTGGTCTTAGCAATTAAAGATATCTGATTTGGTACTTTTCCTTCCTTTTCTAGAGTTAAAATCATCAACTCACTTTGACTGGTGCTTTCTTGGAAAACCCAGTAAAATTGCAAATTGGAGGGACTTTGTATTCATGGAGGCAGTATCATTTATAACTTTTATATGCCTAATGGTTCAGGAGTTGCTAGCAAGGTGTCCAGATGTGCTCTTTTACCGGCCCTTTAGACATGCTGAAAATTATAGCTTTATTGATCTCATTGTGGTGGATTATCGGAATATGGTCATTCCCTGGGTTAAATGTGGAAAGTAGCGTGGTTACAGGAATTGCAATTAATGAGAACAGTTGGTGATCTGCCGGCAGCCACATGGGACTCAGTGGAGGCAGCCTCCACTGGTTCTTTTATTTTTAATTTTTTTGCATGCTATATAATAATTGTAATGTTAGCCCAATTACTCTTTTTTTGTGACCCTCAAAATTCTTGCGCATCTTTTTTGTAAATCAGCCCCTTGCCCTTTCTGTTTTCCCTCTTAAACTCTCTCTCTCACTATCCCCCTCTCTATGCATGTACAGGTTGACTTTCAAATGACTTTCTTGCCAACAATAAATGCATGACTTTTCTGGTTGACTTGCAATTCCAATTTTGTTTCTACTTAGTTGTAGTTGATATGGATTAACTTGCTTCTAGTTATATGCAGTTTGGACGGAATCGTTGTCCCTCTTTGTATTATCACTATTTTCGTTGATGCTAGAGTTGCCATTTTTTTTTCTTTGTATTATAAGATAATCTGCATTCTCCTTCTTCTTCTAACTCTTATTCCTTATGCAGGTTGTGCAATGGCAATTGATGGTTCAAACTGCAAGCACACTGATGGAAAAGCAGAAGGCTGAGAACAATGAACAAGCAACATATCAGGTTTACCTCGGTTTATATATTGAACTTCCTACCAATCCGTTTTTAGTCAATCAACTAGTTTATCATTTCCACAATGTTTATACTAGTAGGGAATGGAATTGTATTGCAAGATTATGGGCTAATCTAATTTTACGACATAAATAAACTTGGAATTTTACATCTGATGGATAATGGCACATTAAGAAATTGACACGTGCCCATATTTGCATAATACTAAAAAGAGAAATAAGAAATGGATCAACCATTTTTAAGGGAAAGCTGGGTCTAAGATCAAATTTATATCTATCGTAACTTCATCCTTCTTTAGCCATAGATGATAATGTTTTGTGGTTATCTGACTTGGCATTTTGCTGTTACGGATTCAATGTTAGAATCTCCTTCCATTACCAGGGACACTTTGGTGTCTTTGGAGAGAACAAGGATATATAGACCTCATCTGTCCAAATATTTTTTGCAATAATCAGTGACTTGATCTCCGATGAGGTCACCGCCGATCGGATCATGAAGAGTTGCAACTGTATGAGCTTTTTGTCGAAGAATACCTCATCCACTAGGAGCAACATGACAGAATCTTCAAATCTGAACTCGAAATACCCGATGTCCTTGCCGTAACTTTTGGATTCCACGTTTGATCTGGTGGATCTACTGCCTTTTTAGAAGGAGAGGAAGGCTGAATTGGCAATCTTTGAGATCTCCTCGTCGGCAAACTCGTGGCTAAATGCAATTTGAGGACTCAACCAACTGTCCGACGAGTTCAGTGTTGAACGAAAGTCCAAGAAATTTTCTGGTTCATAGTATAACAGAAGGCCAGAGATGATAGAGACAAATCTGAAATGCGTTTGATTTTGAGACCCGATAACCCATTAAAAATGAGTTTGACGCTTTCTTACTCATCCTTTTTAATATAAATCATTTGGGACACGTGTTAATTTCATATTTTGCCACCCCACCTATCAGGGGAGATTTCCTTCTGATGGGTTAGGAGGCAAGTATTGTCCACATATGATGATTCGCGAAGGTGCTCTGGCATCTCGTGTGCTATAACAGTATCTATGTGATATTGGTCTATGCCCATCTTTTATACCATAGGGATTTACATTGCGCAGACCAATTTAACAGCATCAGCAGTTCTATAATTGTTCTTCATAAAAGCTCTTTTTATATCTTTATTTTTACTGTAACCTCCCCATTACACTTATCAGCTTCGCTCATTGACCTTTATGGCATAAATCCAAGTTGGTTTTTTATGTTAGCTCAACAGGAGCCTAATGTTTTCCCGACTGATAAGCGTATTCATCATATTGGTTCTGGTGAATCGGCTAGTTCTTTAGGGTACTTTCATATTGAAGAATCTGATGACTGGTGCTTGCTTTACATTTTTGGCTATATTAACGATTGATACTGGATTTTACTCACTCAATTTTCTGTGTGTCGTGTCGTGTAGTTATTTATGCATGTGAGATTCTGAGGATTGCATTGATATTCGCTTGGATGTTACGGCTAAATATTTGAATTTCTTGTAGGAGCTGCTGTCCAGATGCGCTAGCTTGGAACTTGGAGATGGAAGCTCGGCATAACTATCATAGAAATAGTCCATCTTGTTGTAAATTCATGTCTTTTGGTAATTCGGAGGAATGTTATTGTTGGTGAAAAGGGCGGTGAAAGGGCAACAAACAGGATTAATGTAGATTTCTACACGATAGGCCTAGTAAAGAATTTAGTTAATTTTGGTTCGTTAAATACATTGAAAAAACAGACGGAAAAATCTCTATAATCCTAGTTGTTAGTAGAACAAAGTCTTGAGATGTTTTGTTGTGAAAATGTTGTTAACTCGTGTATTTGAAAACGCCTTAGCACCTGGTTTAACAGCTTCTGCTGCAACAAGCACCAGTATATCTTGTCGGGGTGATGATTTAGTAGCAGTGGGCGGTAAAGTGGCTGCAACAAGCACCAGTATATCTTGTCGGGGTGATGATTTAGTAGCAGTGGGCGGTAAAGTGGCTTTGTTTTCTATTATTCCGTTAGG